AAATGTAGCTACTACCTTTACAGAAATAAGATTTAGAAATAGCTTTTTGAAGCATTTGCTGTTTGCCCTCCTCCCCCAAATCAGCCCAGTGAAATCTTATTACATCACAGAAGTTTTTTTGAGTATTCCCAGGCAATCTCACTTTTTAAAAAGGAATTGCCGCCATTTGAAAGCAAGACATGATTCAGTCACTGAAACTGTCATAAGGAAAAGCTGATGGAGAATATTTTACAACCTCTGTCCTCAACTAACTTTTTCATTAAGCAAAGGCAGAGAGACTGGGATGACTGATTACTTCTACATAATGCAGCTTTGTCAACAAGTTCTTTCCATGATCCCTATAAATACACTGGGGTGATACAATATGGACAGACAATACATTTTTTTGCCAGTTTCTTCTCACAGCAAAGCTATTTGTGGAATTGATAAAATTAAAGGAGCAAATGGTGCTGGCCAAGCTAATAATCTTATGACCTTCATTTCATTTATTTGAAAATTACACACAAGATGTTTTTAAAACAAACTTGGAAGTTGCATAAACAGGCTTTAAAAATGTATGTTTGCTATGGACAGTGCACCATCATATCATTTACAAAACTCAAGCACTTAAAAGCAAAAAAGTGGGTAGTTAGCTACATAGTAAATGTTACACTGCACTTGTAATCTACAGTACACTCCATCGGTAATCATAAAATATAAACATGCAAAATGGCCTGAGTTTCATATGTATGCATTAGTGGCACATTGATCAGGTCCAAATTCACATTCTAAATCCATATAATTAAACTAATAAAATAAACAGATGCCATTGCTGTTAAATACAGTATTTTATCAAAAAGCTTGCTGCCAACTGATAGAGATACTGATATTTTTCATTTACCGTATATACTTGTTCATTAACCCGTTCGTTTATAAGCCGACCCCCCAAGATGGTTAGGTAAAAATAGCAAAAGCTGTATGACCCTTTCATAAGCCAACCCTATATTTCAGGGGTTGGCAAACTTTGCCTCCTGGCCTGTTAGGGTAAGCCGCTAGCGGGCCTGGATGTTTTGTTTACCTGGAGCATTCACAGGCACGGAGCCCCTCAGCCGGGAATAGGGGGGTTGAATGGGGGCAGGGGTCCCAGGGGGGCAGTCAGGAAGGAGAGGGGAGGTTGGATGGGGTGCTGGGGGGCAGTCGGGGCGGGGATTCCAGGGGTGGTCAGGGAACAGGGAGCAGGGGGAGTGGATGGGGCAGAGGTCCCGGGGGGGGGCAGGCAGGAAGGAGGGGGGGGGGGTGGGGCGGGGGGGGGCAGTGAGGGGTGGGGCAGAAAGGGGACAGGGAGCAGGAGGGGTGGATGGGGCAGGGGTCCCAGGGGGCCGTTAGGGAACAGGGGGGGTTGGATGGGACAGGAGTTCCAGGGGGGAGGGGGAGCAGGGGCCGGGCCATATGTGGCTGTTTGGGGAGGCACAGCCTCCCCTAACCGGCCCTCCACACAGTTTCGGAAACCCAATGCGACCCTCAGGCCAAAAAGTTTGCCTGCCTCTGTCCTAGATGGATGCCCTAACAACCAGGCTACAAAGTCATTCTCTCTGGCTACCTGCCTAGTATGCTGGGTTTTGTAAATTGGAGTCTAAGGGATCTATGTCTGCCCATTCATTGCATAGGCAACCTAGGTGCCTAATTCAGAAACAACACTTTGATTCACAAAGCCTGTGATTTATTTATCTATCTAGCCACCTAAAAGTTAGGTATTGCTATGCTCAGTATCATATCTCCTAGTACAGGGGTTGGCAACCTTTCAGAAGTGGTGTGCCGAGTCTTCATTTATTCACTCTCATTTAAGGTTTCGCGTGCCAGTAATACATTTTAACGTTTTTAGAAGGTCTCTTTCTATAAGTCTATAATATATAACTAAACTGTTGTTGTATGTAAAGTAAATAAGGTTTTTAAAATGTTTAAGAAGCTTCATTAAAAATTAAATTTAAATGCAGAGCCCCCCGGACCGGTGGCCAGGACCCGGGCAGTGTGAGTGCCACTGAAAATCAGCTCGCGTGCTGCCTTCGGCACCCGTGCCATAGGTTGCCTACCCCTGTCCTAGTACTTAACACACACACCTGCTGGCACTGTCAACACAGATTTGTGAATTTCCCAGCCCCCTTTTTCTAGAAAAACCCAAACCATGGAGTGTGTATTTCCAGTTTATGAACTTCTGTCACACTGATGTATTTATGTGAATCTAACTTTATTTGAAAGTTTGGTACCAAAGACATTAGGTTATAATTTCAATTTGCGAATGAAAACTCATAAAAAGCTAAGAGAAGTGATGAGAACATAAAGGTTCTTGTTGTGCATATTAAACAAGAAACCCTGGTATTTTAAATGTCAGGGTATTGCTGTGATCCCTAGATTAACAGAGCCATGGGGACAATTCCTAGAGCACATGAAACATTCAGGAGCATTGAATTTTCACCTTGATGATCTTTCCATAAAGGAATGAGTGAAATTAGAGCATCAGTGTGTTCTTGTAGATGACTTACTACATCTATTTATTCAAATGAGGGTACGCTTCTAGGCTGAATACATCTTATTTAGCAAGCTCTGAGGGACTAAAAATATTTTTGAGAATAAATTGTTTTTGTCAGGTACATGTCTTAAAGTAGACGGAGGAGTTGATGAGGACAGCAGTCATGACTGTATTGTAACCTCCTCTTGGATTACTTTATAAAAGGAACATTTAAGAAATAAAACAAAGAATGAAATATCTGTATAATATGCAGCCTTGAAAACTTCAGGGAAAGACTGGAGCTTCTTCCAGTGATGCAGCATTCTTGTTACAGTGACTCGTTGTAATTAAGAGACCATGTTCAGGATAACTAAATTAGATAAACTCACGCAGTGTCCTATTGCATAATATCCTTTAGGAAGGGATTGTATCTAGTTTTTAAACTAGTATAGTGCTGTGTAAAATAGGAGTTGAGTCATATGACTGGCCAATGAATGTTAAGTATGTGATGTCTGAATCATCTGGGTTTCCCCCGCTCCCCCCCTGCATTCTGAGAGAGGCTCTGGTCAAAACGTAGATACATCTGTTTAGCAGGAAGTTTGCTATCCTGAAGCCTGTGAATAAGATTTGATATATTCAAAGATCATAAAGAATTTAGTTCTTAAGCAACTGCTATGTGTTTCTGGAGTTAATCTGTATGCTTTGTTTGGATTATGTGGAAGGACAGTTTTAAATGTTGAACATTTCTTAAATGGCAGAAGAGAATTGCACCTGCCTATGAGGTATTATTGCATGTTTTCCTTGGAGATTAATAGACCTGTTTGAGTGCTGATTATGTTTTGAAACCTTGAGTTATTGTTGGAAAAATGTGGTTCTGAGTAGAACTTACCTTATATTTTAGAAGGCAATTTAATTTGTTGCTTTAATTTTTCAAGCTGGTGAGGGAATTTTTATAAAATTGCTTGTAGCTCTTTGAGTTGCATTAGTTGCATTTTAAGGAAATGAATGAGTATGGAAATGTAAGACTAGCACAACTTGAGCCACAACCAAACTTGGTAAAAAAGCTAGCCTTCATTAAGGGTAATTCTGTCCTGTTTTTGAAGTTTTATACCCAAGTTACTTTAAATATCTGATAGCAAACTAGTGCTATAGTTCTGAAAAGTTAAACACTTTCATGGTATGCTTTGATCTCTGATGATTTGACTTCCATTAAACTTTCCAAAACATTCACTTTATGGCTGAGGCCAGAGTGAGAAGTTCAAAGTAATGACAGTAAATGAAAATATGGATTTCATAATGAAAAATGGTCAACTTCAAACTATACTGTGTTGTTGCTGCAACACTACAGTTTATTGTATACCTCATTTCTGAGGTTTAAGATCAGTAGACATACATGCAGCAATAATAATCCAAACATGTTGTGCCTCAACTTATGACTCTATTGTTTTAACTCTTACGACATTCATGTGAGCTTCTATAAACATTTTCTCACTGTAGACAATACTACTAAAAAACTAGGTGTGACATAAATGATTTCACTCCTACTCTGCCATATCAATTATACCTATAGCTAAAGTATTGAATGTGGCATTTTAGTGGCAAATTTAATGCCAAAATATCCATATATGATCTTGTGGTTATCAGTAGGTACATGCATGACGGTGGTGGTGTTGAGTTTATGGTGGCAATGGATTTCATGATAAGCAAATGGGCTCTGAGTATCAAGAAGTTAAAGGGCTCTTTAAATGTGAAATATGAACTCACTGTTCAGATTTTACATTGCAGAATTGTAGAATTCACTCTCCCTTATTTCTAGATTGAAATTGTTTGTGGACACAGTTCTATACAGTTTGGTTTAGTGACGGAAAATCTCCATTTCCGCTCAGTAAAAATGATGAAGCAACATATGAGCCCTAATTAATCTATTTTCTCATAAAACAACCTCTAAATAGTATGTGCTGATGCTTTCAATGGAATTTAGATGGTTTTTAATCTTCTGTTCAGTTAGTCAGTTTTTCTGTTGCTAACAAACTGTGTACCGGGAATTAGTGAAAATGACAATACACAAAGTGCTTTCAAATACACAAAGCAAACATACTGAGAAATCGGGAAAGATTTTCACTTTTTGTAATCTTAAGTGTTTGTAACAATAGTTGGTATAAAATGTTCAGTCAAGTTGATTTTTCAAGTTGATGCCCTTCACTACGCAAGTGTTTCTACAAATCCTCCAGTGGAGAAGCATTATAAGGGAAAACATAAAAGTACCAGGTTTGAGAACTTTTTAAATTATAAGCCTGTGACACATGGATGTAAGTTTAATGCTGACAATGTTCTGTGCTGCATAGTGCACAGAAATACAATCTAACATGTACTGAAATGTAAAGCACCTCAAGTGTTACCAGTGCCTGTCTAGCTTTCAATAAAATAGCCCAATATGCTGGTCTTTTGTAACGATTCCCCCCCCACACACACCCCATTCTGATCTAGTGTTAATTGACTTTTTTCTGAACTGCAGGAGAGCTCACACCTTAACAGTCCTGTTTATCCTCACATGTGCACTGGGATATGTAACCTTGCTTGAAGAAACTCCACAAGATACAGCCTACAATACAAAGAGGTAACTATCCTTTGCAGAAGTGTTACAATATAGCATTTGTCCTGTCAGTATGAAACTAGCAAAACTAAACTACAACCTATAAGCTCATCTGGTACAAAAGTCTTTGAATTTAGTCTCTAATCAGTGTAGTGTTTCTTACTGTAATGAGCTCCTATGCGTATGTGTAAATATAACTAATTATAAAATCTCTTAATGCATTCAGTTGTTTCTGTGGCAACTCATTCTGCCTCTTTGCTGATGTGTTGAGGCCTGTCTTTTACAATATATAAACAAGCTAAGTTTGCTGTGTGAACTGTAAATTAATTACTTGTATGTTTATGCAAGGCTTTGGTTGAGGTTTTAATGGAAATGCACATTTGGGCTTTGAGCAAACATGAGAACTTGTACCCCAAATGGTAACTTTCAGAAAATAAAGTTTAGAATTATTTCATACCTGAATGTGTTCCATCACTACAATTATGTTCTATTCAAACTGATCAAGCTTAATCAAACATTTCCTCTATAGAAGTAGAGCAGGAAAAAGATGATTACATCTCCTTACTTTGTATAGGGAGTGAACCTTGTGTGTGTTTCGCAAGAGTGCACAAACAAAAGTGTTCCTTCCCCATCATTAGGGAGTCCCTGTCTTCAAGACCTAAATCTTTTCCTAACTAAATTGATGGAGGGACCTTCTTTACCAATCTCTCTTGAATATCTATCAATCAAAACATCCTTCCTGATAACAGTTATCGTACATACACGATCATAAGCTGGTTCGTTTAAAACCGCCCCCCCCCCCAAGATGGATAAGTAAAAATCGAAAATTTCTATAACCCGTTCATAAGTCGACCCTATAATTCAGGGGTCAGCAAACTTTGGCTCCCGCGCCATCAGGATAAGCCGCTGGTTGGCTGAGATGGTTTGTTTACCTCGAGCGTCCACAGGCACGGAGGTAAACCTAAGTAAACAAAGTGTCCCGGCACGCCAGCTGCTTACCCTGACAGGCCGGGACAGCAACTGGTGGGGAAATTTTTTGTGGGGGAGAAGCTGGGAGTCAGGGGAGTAACCCCTGTGACCACCCCCCCACGTGACCCCACCCCTAGCCCGGGACCCCCACACTCTCCCCATCCCATCCCTTCCCACCTTTTCTGGGGAGGGCTAGGGGAGGATGTCTCTGACCTGGCTAGAGCTGCTCCGGCAGGCTGGGCAGCACGGCCGCAGTCTGCTTCGGTGGGCCAGACAGGGCGGCGCGACCGCAGCATGTTCCAGTGGGCTGGGCGGCACGGCCGCAGCCTGCTCCGGCGCCCGTGCGGCGCAGCCACAGCCTGCTCTAGGGGGTGGGGCCAAGCGGCATGGCTGCAGCCTGCCAGACCCGGAGCTGCAGCTGCTTCAGAGGCTGGGGGGAGAGCAGCGTGGCCAAGCGGAGAGACTCTGGCCCCGCCTCTTCCCTTCTGTCTCTGCTGTCTGTGCTGCTTCTCCTTGCTCCCTCTGTTGCGGGAGGGGCTGTGTCCCACCTCTCCCTTTCTATACCCGTTCATAAGCCGACCCCCGTCTCTGTTGCTTCCCTTTTTTACTAAAAAAATTTGGCTTATGAATGAGTATATACGGTATGTCTGTGGAGAGGTTGAGTGAGCTTAGTGCTTTCATTCTACTTTATACTGTGGTCCACAAGGAAAGTCATCACAATTCCGTCCCAGCTTCATGTCTAAGGTGTTCTCAATGTATTTCTCTCTCCATGTTCTTTGCAGACTCCTCTTCTACTGAGGGAAACTTGTCTCCATATTGTAGATTTAAGGACACACTGTTTTTACCTGGAAAACACCAGGCCTTTGAGAAGATAAAGTATCTTGTTTGTATCACGTAGGGAGAAGTGCCAAGGGAGAACCCATTACCAATCAAAGGCTTTCTCACTGGATTAGTAGATGTATAGAATATAGTTATACCTTAGCTAGGAAACCAGTGCCCCATGGTTTACAAGAGCCACTGCAGCATCAGTAGCATGCCGCTGGCAGGTTTCCCTGGTGCAAATGTGCAAAGCAGCATCTTGGAAGTCGATGGACACTTACACCAGATGCTACTTATATTCAGCATTGCACTCCAGTGCCTGGTTTGGGAGGGCAGTGCTACAGTCCATATTTATCTGTGAACACCTTACCCACTATCCACCTGTGAGAGCACTGCTTGCTAATCTCCCACAAGGGGAATACACATAGGCCATCAAAGAAGAGGTTATTTACTGTTTTGAGAGTTGTCTCTGTGTATTCACTCTACCCATCCATCGTCCCATCTACCTTGGAGTTCTGTATAACATCAGACCTCAGTAGTTAGGGAGAAGAAACAAAAGGTCATGGGTGGGGGGGGGGGAGGGGTCCACTCCCTTGTATACAAGGTGATAATGTCAACTGTGAGTGCCAAGTTTTTAAGGTAATTCCACAGCTCAACTTCATGAGCACCATATCCCATAAGTGTGAATATACAGACTCTGGAAAAACAGCTATTGATAAGCAACCTCTTTGCTTTCTAATAATTATACAACTTCAGCCCTTCTCATGGTCACCAAATGTATGGTTGCGTACCTCCTATCCTTCTTCGGTTATACCAATATGTTGAGGAGAGTTTGTGTGTTCACTGCCTGAGATAGGTGTGTTCTGAGGTTGCTATCTTTGTATTCCAGTAAATAAAGTTGGATTTGGCAGTGATGTGTGGTTAGAATGGACTAGATAGTAGTGTTGAGTGGCTAGAAATTAGAGCCCCAGCAATGTGGAACTGAGTTCTGATTGCAGCTCTGCCATTAGCTTGACGTGACCTAGAACCCATCATCATAATTTCCAGGTAGGAAAGAGGTATGTTGAGGATTCATTGTTTGTAAAGTGCTATATAAATGTGTCACATAGTCATACCTCCCTCAGAAGTTCCCTTGGGGGGGGGGCGGGATATCCAGACAGCCAGGATAACTCAAGAATCTGAAGGTGGTTGTTCGCTGCAACATCTTTATTCTTTTATTATTATGCCTTCTTGACTTGGAAATTAGAGTTGCTTGTATAGTGACCTGAGGCTCAGAGTCTCTAAGTTATGGTGCAGCCAAGTTTCAGCAGTCCCCTGTAATTTATTCAGGCACATGGGCTTGCAGAAGGCTACCAGAAACAAGCTTTTCTTCAGACTTGTTTCCCCTGCTGCAACTTGGGTTTTGTTAGGTATTACTTCCTGTAGCTTCGTAAGTGGCTTTTCAATCTCCTTGGTGTGAGATTGATGCCTTTTCTCTGCATTCCTGTTATTGCTAATGCTTCGTTATCTTTATCAAACACTAGCTACAGTGTTAAGAAACAGCCCGGGAAAAGAGCCTGTGTAATAACACCTAGAAGAATGAGATCATCTGCTGTTTCAGAGTACAAACCCTTCATAAAAAGATGAGCCTGTTTGGATGTGCTGAAGGAAACCCTCAAGAACATTTGATCTCTCTGCTAGATAGTTCTGATGTGCTGAAAGAAACATTCAAAGAGAAGCTTTTCTTGTTGTTTTGCTGTATATGATTGAGCTTACTTTTTTTTATCAGTCCCTCCATTTTGACTTTAGGGTTGTGTGGCAGTTATGTACCTCATTCTGTGTTTATACAGAGTAATTTTAGCCAATAAATTTCAAACCTATTCTAGTGTTCCTTGTAGAAAATAAAATGTGCTTAGTTCCTAGAACCCCCCAAAAAGTAAGAGTGCCTGGTTTTATACCTTGGTGACTTACAATACAGTACTTTGTCTTGCCTTGGATCACAGTTCTACCTTATTTTAGGCTAGTTCTGCTCTTTCTGTGGCTTTACCTTCTGTTCTTTAAACTCTAAAATCTGTGTCTGCTTGAAGCTGTCACTCTCTGAAAAAATCCTACAGTAACACTTAGGCTAGGTCTACACTCCAGCGGGGGGTCGACCTAAGATACGCAACTTCAGCTACGTGAATAGCGTAGCTGAAGTGGCGTATTTTAGGTCGACTTACCTGGCTGTGAGGACGGCGGCAAGTCGACCGCTGCCGCGCCGCCGTCGACTCCGCTACCGCCTCTTGCCGCGGTGGATTTCCGGAGTCGACGGTAGAGCCATCAGGGATCGATTTTATCGCGTCTTCACTAGACGCGGTAAGTCGATCCCCGATAGACCGATTGCTACCCGCCAGATCGGCGGGTAGTGAAGACATGCCCTTACTCTGCTTAATGAACATCAATAGCGTAATCATACAATGTGTAATGAACAGTGTCTGTACCTGCGATTATTCAGCACTTGGAAATGAAAATGTGTATTGCAGTAAAGCTCTGTCCTTGTCTGTATGTGGGGCCCACAAATGTAGAATTGCAAACACTTTGAAATCATTAGTTTTCATACTCTTGTTGCATGTTAACTTGTGGGGTGATAAACTAGTGTGGGACAAGGGGGGTGGGTAGGGCAGAATAGAAGAATAGTAGGGAACAAGGAACACAAACCAGAACTGCTCCACTCCCCATTGCAAACATGCTCCCAAGACTGAGTAAAGCAGATGCATCCGAAGAAGTGGGCTGTAGCCCACGAAAGCTTATGCTCTAATAAATTTGTTAGTCTCTAAGGTGCCACAAGTACTCCTGTTCTTTTTGTAAAGCAGATGGGTAGTTCCTTGAAAACCAGCTTTCCCTCTCTACTCCCCTAAACGCCCCTATGCAGCTGCCTACAGCAGTAACTCACATGTTACAGGGGTGTGAGCACAGATAGCAGCAGAAAGAATAGATCAGAAAGGATAGTCATACAGTTGAAAGCCAGAATGGACCACCAGATTATTGTCTGACTTCTTACTTGTTGGTGCCCGTGACAACAGGAATAAGGCAGTAACTATTGCAGAGCATGATTCAAGGAGATGTGGGGTGCTGGTAGGAACCTCAGTACTGCTCCATCCATTTATATCTCAGATTACCTATTTAAACTTCCTAGCATTTGAGACTAAATCATTCTCTCAGTATTGAATGCAGCACTGACTGAGTTTCTGTGTGTTTTTTTTTTCCCTTTCTTCACA